GCAGCTGTGCCTGGACGGTTCATTGAACAGGCTGAATTAACCATCATAAATGATAAAATCAAATGTACATATAAGACAAGACTGTATTAAGAATTCTAAACATATACAAAAGAGGCAAAATATATGCAGTGCAGTAAGGAGGTAATGAGATCAAATAAAATAATTTTTAAAAAAAAAACAAAAACAAAATAGAATAAATATGGGCAGGAGTTTGCACATAAGCAGCATTATTAAAAGTGACATTGTATGTAATTGTTTTGAGTTCAGAAGTTTGATGGACCATGGGTAGAAACTGTTTCTCAGCCTGTTTGTCATAGGGCTGGACCTGAATAGCCGAATAGCCGACTATTCGTTCGCTGTGCTGGAATGGGGATATCAAAGTTGATCGCTGAATGCCCCCCGTCGCCACGGCCGCCGCAGACACGGTGCCGTCACTGCTGACTAACTGGTGTTAGTAGCCAGATGTGGCCTGTGCGTCACGCCCACTCCGGCCCGTCTGAAATAATACACACACCCGCCACCATCGCGCAGCACCCCCGAATATTAGGGATATTCGTCACTAATTGGGAACGAATGTCCGGAGATCAAAAATTGCTATTCGGACCAGCCCTAGTTTGTCCTGCATTTTAAGGATCTGAATCTCGTTCCTGATGGAAGCAAGCTACACAGCGGCTGGCCAGGGTGGGTGCTGTCTGCGCAGATCTTTTTAGTTCGACTTTTAGCAACGGGAGGTTGCGATGTTCTCCAAGGGCAGCCAATGAATTTCTCTGCAGTCCTGGTGACCCTCTGCAGAGCCGTCCTGTCTGTGGTGGAGCAGGCTGCTAACCAGACAGTCATACAGTACATCAGCACAGACTCTATAGTGGCCCAGTAGAGGGACACCTGCAGTCTTTCCTCCACGTGTTTCCTCCTCAGCACCCGAAGGGTCTTCAACTCTAATTGCAGGCCATTCTAAGGTCTTCTTCATGTAAGCGGAGCAAATTTTGAATTTGTCTCCATAGCACTCCTTTAACAAAGTCTTTGCTCTCCTGTAGCCTCTGTGTGGGCTCATGGGGACACAACTTCTTACAAGATCTCTGGGAAGGCTGCTTGTGTAGTGATTCAAAAAATACAGTCTATCTGCATCATTGTCACTCTTAAGTTCAAAGGCTCTGATAAAAGGTCTATATTACAAAACATCACCACTGAATATTGGAATTTCTTCATGTGGAAGATTAGAGAGTTGTTATTGCTTTACAAAAACTGCTGTAATATCATTTTGGCATTGAGGGATACTTGTCAATTTATCATGGCTTACAGTGTTCTTTGAAAATGTCATTAACTGATCTGATGCTCTTTTAGATAGAGCTGGAATTGAAACCATCTCTGTTGCATTATGTCTATCTGACTGCACTAGGACAGGCTGATTATGGGCACCAGCCTTGAGGCGAACACTAGGAACAGTTTTATTAGCTTTACCTTCAGTTGGTAGGTTTTCTGTAGATGGCTGATGCTCTGAAAGTGTACGATTTTGCTATCAGATTGAGCTCTGCAGCGTCTTGTTCTTTTATTGCAGACGCAAGAACAGCAAGTTTTGAAGACAAGGCCTCATATGGAGTTTTCAGTTCCAAGGCTTCACGTTTGTGCTTTAATGATTGCAATTGTTTGTTTAGCACTTCCTCTTTTTCCTCCAGGTCACGTTTCTCCTTCAGTGCCGCCATTTTGACAATGAGGGCTGCTTGTTCTGCTTCTGCTCGGATCCTGGCCGAGGCAACAAAAGAAGATCTTGAGCTGGACCCATAGCTTGAGACTTAGGATGTACTGTCTTTGGGGCCAACTTCCATCTCTTGGAATCCAGCAGCTTCAGCCTTAATTATGCCAGACAGCCACTCACACAGGAGAAAGGAATTCATTAGTTTCTGCCATTTTAGGTTCAAACCACTCATTTTTATCTTTATC